CCAGGGACTTTGTGTAAACCAAGCATCATTTTGTAACAGAAAAAAAAGTAATGTAAGAAATTGAATTTGACTATATTATTGACTGACGCATTTAAAGCTGTGATTGAGGAGAGCATTGGAGAATGGCGGAGAAGATGAAGAAAAGCACCCCCAAAATCACCTACAAAAGCTACCTGTCTTTAGAAACTTCCTCGCATGAAGTAATTAGCAGCAGCTTTACAACCTGAGACTCCTGAATGGCAATGACTTTTCACAACTTCCTGCAACAGTGTAAAATAACAGCTCAAATAGACGTTGAGAGGATTATAAGTGACATGAGAGGACGATATATATGTTATAGGGTTACCTAGGCAACTGATATCTGAAATATCCAGTAGCAATTAACATCAGAGATGTTAATGGTCATTAGCCCAACTGTGGCATTTGTTGGCAGGAATTAACTAAACATTCTCCTGAGAGAAATACTGGCTTTTGTAAAACAGTGCTGGACTTGAACCAGAAGAAGCAGGAACAATGCACTCTCAATAAGAGGTATTGTTCAACACCGCTTTCTCGGGTCTGCTTCCTGTGTCTCCCCATGGATGCAGACATCTGTAGCATTACTTTTTTTTTTTTTTTTGCCTGTCCCATTTGGTTCTTTAGCCATCAGAATTGTTGTATGAAGACCAACGAGGATACCCAATGGATGCATCTGTAGCATTACTGCACTGAAGCTCTAACACCTATGAAAAACTTTAAGAAGTGCAACATCTTCATGAGTTTTTATGTCACCTAGGAGATCTTTTGTTTTGTGGTATTTTTTGCTTGCTGGTTTTTTTTTCATCCCTAACTTATTCCTTTCACTTCAGGTTAAAACAAACCTCCTGCACATTTACCAGTGACGAAATGGACCTTCCACAGTCCCACTAATGCCATACCCCAGTGCATCTCGGAACACATTCAAAGGACAGAATTTGCTTAAATTAGCAATTCCTGTGTGTTTGAGAAGATGGTGCTACTTAATGTCACAGACGTGAGAATAGGCTTGCATTAAAATAGGTTTTCGTGTGAAAATGTGCAGTGAGGGAATGAATGAAAGTTATAGTTCACATTGTCTAAAATGACATACAGGGCATCTTCTGCAGAATACCTTGAAATTTTGAATTCTGTCTGTCCTGTGCACCAAACATTTGAGAACCACTGGTTTACAGTGTATCGTAGATGCTCACTTATACTTGAAACTGAACAGAAAGGAAAACATGGGATGCTTCAAATTTTCTTGTTATGGCATCTTGCATAGAAGTCCTGTTTATTCCACTTTTAAAGGTTTTGTCCAAAGGTCTTTGCTCACTGGTTCTGAATCTATGGTTTGTTTCCTGTCCAGGCTTCCAGCTTTATAAAAGATTTTGTGGCGGCTCGTCTACAAACAGTGACGCTACATACTTGGAAGGTCAGAACGCTGATGTAGAAGAGCAAAAGCACTGCCCACAGGAAAATGGTGGCTTTGAGGGCGATGAGAGCAACAACACGGGTGTGAAGGATAAAAGCACTGACAAAAGCACTGCGCTGTGATATTGCAGCTCTGAAAACCAGAGACTTTGGATTGTTGGTATGAGCAATAACAACTGCATCAGTGATCACAGCATTTGGACTCTACTGTGAAGACACACTGCACTCTGCAGGCTGTATGTGCACCACACTAAACCATTTGGAAAAGTTTTAGCTGAACAGGGTTGCACAAATTTCTTCCCCGGGACAGTCAGTATCTAACTTCAAGTGGGAACGTGGTGGGGACCAACTGCTGAATTATGTGTTATTTACTTTTATTCATATCTAAATATTTAGAACCACTTTGCCTGTACATTGTTAGACATGTGTCTTAATCAGTGCTTCAGTGATTGTAAACAGGGTGTTTGGGGTTTTTTGTAAGGTGACAGCCATAATTTATTTCATATTAATGTTATTTCAATAGCAACAAGAACACAGTGATGACAACAAAGAACAAAATGTGATATAATGATGTAGTTACAGCTTAAGAGAAATCTATGTGAGATCCAGTCATGTCAATGTAAAGCTGTTAGCATGAATTAACTGTGTAACAGCTCCATAAAAGTAGCAGTAGTAGTTAAACAGATTTTTATTATTACTATTTTGGTTATTTATTGTTAATTATTATTTTATTATTAAAATTGGTCAGTAAATCCTGTGGTTAGTTGTTGAGTGAGGAAGTAGCTAAAAGCCAAGTGTGAATGATTGAAATAATAATTTAATAGTCATACATAAATGGTTAATAAGAATGTAATCAGTCTTTGAAAGTCTGGGGTTTCAGTGATCAGTTTTTCTGTCCATACTCAAGCATCAGACTTTGAAATCAACATATTCACACTTTAATGTATGAGTCTGCTGTACTGCAAAGGGACTTTGTTTAATGAAGCAATTACAGTTTAATTTCATTTACTTGGACATTTTTTTAAATGATGAACACAAACAGTTTTTAATGAATACATTTCTGTTCTCAGTTGTGTAGTTATAAATAAAGATTATTTGCATGTTATTGTTTTTGTGCAGTTGTTCCAATGTCCTTTGTCTTATTTAAAAAAAAAAAAAAAAGACTAAAGCTTGTCTTTGACCGTAGTGTGGTAAAATGTGAACAGCTGCACGTAGTCTTGGTTCAAGGTCACAATCATAATGTTATGTAAATAGTCACCAAGTTGAACAACAAATGCAACCCATGGAAAACAATAAAGGACAAGATAAGTATGGCTGGAGTTATTGGATTATGTCAAGTTTCATTCATAACAGTGGCACTGTGTCACCCCTGCCATCTAACACCTCAGTTGCTTCAAGCATAGGCTTAGCATCTACAAACATAATATTGGTAATGATGTAGCCATCAGAGATTAGGATTATCAGTCAAATTCAGGGAATTGTTGATGACACGTAAAATAACCTTCAACAAGGCAAAAGGTTAAGTTTAACAGGTCCCTGAATTAAACTTAACTTTCGAGGACCTGACACCTTTACCTTGTTGAAGGTTATTTTATGAGGGCATCCCCCAACTTACATGAAAACTAGTTGTCTAGACAGTGGCCTGCATGGGTTTCTGTGTTGGTCAACTATCCATCCATCCATCCATCTTCATCCGCTTTGTCCGGGGCCGGGTCGCGGGGGCAGCAGCCTAAGCAAAGAGGCCCAGACCTCCCTCTCCCCATCCACCCCTGTTGGTCAACTATATATTTCATTTTTGGATACTTCCGTTGTAGGCTTGTTATTAGTGAGTGAGGCCTGATTAAGAGGTCAAATCAATGCTGCAGATTAAAGGCACAGCTGTCCACAAACAAAAGTGCAAACTGCTCTGATAAAGCAGGGTCATTGCTGTGACTTAAGTGTATGCCTAATTGTCTTTACAATGATTCCGTGCTTATGTCTGACTGAGTAGTCCTCAAAACACAATTTTGGAGAAGAAGTCACAGTGTCTTTATCCAACTAATTCCACTCCTTTATCAAACACACTAAACCCTATAAACATTCACCACAGGTTTTTGTGAAATTAAAATCTGTAAGAATGCCACAGCAGAGCAACCGGACTGGGATCATTCTGCTGCAATGCTGGAGGCAACCCGTGAATTTGTTTGAATGGCATTCAAATCCTCCATTGACTCAGCAGCAACTTCAGGCAATTCTGACTGAAGAGTGGGCTGCCAACCCACAAAATTACATCTGGAGGTTGTGCCTCTATGTGTCTGAACAGGCATATTACAACAGTGATCAGTGAGGATAGGGTGCACACTAATAACTGATTGTGTATTTTTTTATTTTTGTAATCTGCAGGGTTGTCACTACAACAATATACAGTGCTTATTTTTCTTGTTTTGGTCCTCCTTCTGTTTGTTTTGTCACTGATTAAGTTAGGAAATTCAGTGGTCATTTGCCTGCTACACAAACTACACCAGAGAATTTATTCGTGGTGCATTATTAAATCCTTTGACTGTGTATTTGCTCTCTAAATAGTGTCAAAAACATCAGATAATGTCGGCTAGATCAGTAGAGACTGATTATTAGCTAAAGTTAGCTTTATCTAGTTTCCACCCAATGAACTGTTTTTATTTTGGTACTGTTCTGGTCGAATTGGGCTTCGTTGTTTATTTTAAATTGCCTTTAAGGAGAGTGAACTTAAATAGTGAAAACAGCCCAGACTTATTGGAAATGCACAATGATATACTTGTTTTTGAATCTTTCATCAAAGCTAGTTCCAGGGTTTCAAATGGCTGGAGTACCTTGCTAAGAATGCATCTTTCTGTTTTGTTTATCAGGTTTTTAGTAAGAATCTAAATAACAACATTTATGAAAGGCGGAGTTAGGAGTTGGCAGTGTTTACAGCAGATAAAAACAGCACATTTCAAAGTAAAAGTGAAGCAAAAAATACCTGATGAGACTGACGAGAGACCAGATGATGAGACCAGAGATGGAAAGTCAGAACAGTTGGCCTTCTGTGTGAAGGAGGGTGCAGTGAAGGAAAGGTTCATGGCCCAAATTTTGATGCTGCATCTACTGCAATTGAGAAACTACTGGTAGAGAAAGGAACTGATCAACTGAAAGTTGAGTCTGTGCAACATAGAATTACCACAGACTTGCAACAGTCATAGATTGGGGCATTTGGGGGTGTGCAATCCCATTTTAGAAAACAGTAACTTGAACTAATATACACTATATTTTCCCTTCATATCTGCTTTGCTATAAACTGTTTATTAGCATCTGGAAAAAATTCTGATAATCATGATTGAGTCGTTCCGTTTTTCACCCAAGAGCACGTGTATTATATTAAAACGGATTTTTTAAAATCATTCTTATACATCATAGTCACCTAATTAGGTTGCTTTTGAAAATAACATTGTAATGTGTATCTAAAATGAGGTTTCATATCTCATCATACGCAGTACATTTGTTTTTTGCCGTCACGGACGCGTGGCCAATCCAAACAAATTCTTTCACTTCCCAGACCTGCGGTGGGAATTTACGAGGTGAAATCGAACGCACCAGCAGCCCGTTAGCAGTAAAGCAACGACCAAAAAAGAGACACTACAGCGGAGGACTGTGCGTAAGTAAAACATCATTTTAACGCCAAAACTGGCTGGTTTTTTTTTTTCACATGAAGTGACCTTTTTATAACTATTTTAGAGCTCAGAGGCTTTTCGGCACTGAAGCTCGGACCTGCTTTGGTTCCGTTTTGATCAAACAGACGAAAAAAAAGTTGATCTCATTTCCTCTTCTCGAGCGTTACCGTTATCATCCCTCTGATAGATTTTCCTCGGGGTTTAATATGTGGGAAACCAGTAAGTTATCTTACTTTAGCCAAGTGGCTTTCCTTCGATTACATAAACTACTGAAAGCACGCGGGGTGTCGCTGCTGGAGATGTGAGCGAGTTGTGGGTTCACGGGTCGCATTCCCCCTGATTAAACTGAAGTGTCTAAAGTCACGTTAGGAACGGTTGTACACATCAGACAACTTCACGTTAACAGCCGCCTTGTACAAAAAAGCGCCTGTTGCTACTTATCTAATGTTAGAAAACACTTTTTGTCCTGAGTATACACCTAAGATAAAGAAAGAGGGCAGTTAGCGTAGCCTTAGTCACCCAGACAACTTCATGTCTTATTATCTGTAACAGTCCGAGAATTTCAGATTCGATAGGAGTGAAAACATCACTAATGTGGCTTCATGGGAATACAGCGGCTCCATTGTGTGTGCTTTATCTGATTGCACCAGATTGGGAAAAGTAATATATTACACATTTACCCAGAGGATTGGCAGAGACTGGTTGATTTAAATCTTTACCTCATATTTTAAGTTCGGTACCATCTATAAAGTGCATTTCCTTGGAAAGAATATATTACTGAATTTCTGATTAACATCCTCCCTAACAAGTCAGCTACCAGAATACAATGCTGACACTATGTTGGTCCAGTAACTCCACAGATCACTTCCACTGTACTGATGAATGTTTGTAAAGCAGTAATAGCTTACTGCATTTAAAAAGAGGCCATGCAGTCTCTTTTTAAATACTTTTTAATTTGACCCTTTTTAAAAAAAAAATCCAAATTATTTGTAGGTGATTATATTAGCTTTTTTTTTTTTGCAACAAGCTAACAGTTACTCTGTGTATAGTCCTGAAGTGGCCTCCACACAGTAGCATCCACACAGGAAGTGATTTGGTTGTTTCCTTCCCATAACATTGTCACTGGCTGTTGGTTGGTAGTGGATAGGATACCAGGCTCTGGTTGCTTAGGTAACACTTGTGTATTTACTCCCCTCGTGTGTCAGTCAATGATATCCTTTGCACTCATTGGTGGTCAGTTCAGTCAGTCAGGACTAAGAAAGGTTTAACTGCCATTAACTTTACTGATCTCTGGTTTCCAGTTTGATTGCAGTTGTTTCCATAGACTCCCGGTCCCACAGAAGTCTGTGGGAAACTAGCCCTGACTTTTGTAAGCACTTTTCAGATTTTGTATCAGGCGACACAGGATAAAATATTTATTTGATCAATTTTGGTCATTTCGTCACGAATTGGTTGCAAAACTCTTCAGTTTGATGCTTCATAACACAACTTGATGAACCTACACCAGAGGTGCCTCTGTCCATCTTTTGCACTGTGTTTTATACTGTATAGAGCAGTGGTCCCCAACCTTTTTTGCGCAATGAGCCGGTTTATGTCAGACAATATTTTCATGGACTGGCCTTTAAGGTGTCGTGGATAAATACAACAAAATAAAACGAGTACCGGTACCCAAAAAAAATTATTCATAACACACGGGAAAAGACCCAGGGAAACCAAAGTTAACAATAAATACCCTGTAAATCATACATTTCACACCGAGCCTCAACTCTTGTGGCCCAGTACCAAACAAAGTATCAAAGTTGTTTGGTACCAGTCCGTGGCCCGGGGGTTGGGGACCGCTGGTATAGAGGACACTCCTTTAAACTAATGGAGATAGTGGATCTGGAGCAGATGCCATGGAGAGTTCAGCAAGGTGATTCACAGGCCTGCACGTACTGTCTGGACTGGACCCAGCTGCGCTCACCAGAAACTGGACTTCGGTATTGAGTTTGTACTGCTGCATGGGCTACAGCATAGAAGAGATCATTTTTTCCCTGATCATTAAACGTGTACATGGAGCAGTCTGAATGATCTAGCATCAAAAAACAATAGGAGGACATTTTTTTCTCTTGCTTTGATTTTAGATTGGAGCTTAAAGTGGCTAAGTTTAAAAAGATCTCCTTTTATCTTGTTCCAACTTTGTTTCAGCAAGTGTGCGTGTTTTATAAAGAGCGGCGTTTATGCAGGTGAGCAGCAGACTGAGTTAGTGGAGCTACGAGGTAAAAATGCAAAGAGGATGCAGATTTTTTTACCTGTTCAGCTGATAGCTGTCCACGTATGGTCACAAATTCTGGTCATCTGAATTTTTCATAGTTGCACATGAACATTTCTTCATGCTTGAAGTTTTTTTTTCTCATCAGTACTGTTGTGTTTTGTCTTTGGGCCCCACATGGTTCTTTACGAAGTATAAGGTGGTGCTTTAATAGGTGCATGTTAAACTCGACTGCGATTGGATGATTTATTGGGTCAATGGAGCAGATGGGCTAGCGCTAGTTAGAGTATGCTCACAGTTTCGAAACATTGCAGTTTCTTTAACAGCTCCATCCTGTTTCATTTGTTTGGCTGATATCTTTACATATTGTAAATTCATTAACACAAAGAAATCTATAAGACTTAAATAACCTATGTAAGACAGAAACCAACATAACAACATAGGAACAGTTTTGCTGTGCTATTTTCACCACAGGAGTTGATCATGGTGCTCAAACGTTATTTAAATTCCAGTGGGCAGCATTGCAGCAACCTGAGTTTTCTGCGACTCAGATTTCTGTAATAACATGATTACACATCCTGCTACAATAACAGTATTTGTTGACTGAGTGAGGTTCAGTCACTGCAGGAGAAAACCTCTTCACTGAAAAAATCCTACGACAAATCTGAAGTCTCAGAGTTGGTTAAAAACGACAGTAGAGTTTTTTTTTTTAGAGTAACTTGTTGTAATATTTGTTGGAACTGTAATTGAAATCAAAATACACAGTTATTTGCACAGCCTTAATTCGAGCTGCTTCATTATAGCAAATGATTGCTTTCCATAATTGGACCTCGAAAACCACAGATTCTCTGACTGTCATCTCAGCCTGAGCCGTGAGTGAGTTTTGGCTTTTAGAAAACACTTGAACAGAGGTGCATTTGAATTGTAACAGAAAACAAACGAGTAATCACTTTATCCTAATTATCCTGTTTTATTTAGAATCACTGGAAGACAAAATGTAAAAAGGAATTCCGATTAACCTTTCAGTGCTAGTATAATCACATGCCTGAAATGTTAAATTTAAGAATAAACTGTATTTATGCCAAAAGCTGGAACTTCCTGTGTTATAGTATCCAAAATATTAAAGAATGCCTATCACAGATTAGCTCAAATAAAATAGAAAAGTTCAGTAAAATAAAATCCAATAAGGTAAAATTTACAATCAAGAAGGAGTTCATTTACACAGAAAAGGTTAAATAAGATTAAAAAAAACAAGAGCGTCATAAACCAAAATCTATATTAAAAACAGAGCAGGTGCTTTGATTTGTAATAGAGGACAAAAAGAGAGCTTAAAAACAAAAAAGCCATTGTTTTAGCCTGAGGGGTGCTGAGGCGCAAAAGTCCACAAAGGTTGCTAACTTCCTGCATAGTCAGTTGCAACTGACCTCCAAAATAGCGATGGGAATTCCGGCTCTTTTTAGAGAGCCGGCTCTTTTGGCTCGGCTCACTAAAAAGAGCCGGCTCTTTTGGCTCCCAACTGGCTCTTCAGGTTGTTTTGTTGCTAGAAAGGTAGAAGCCTGGGGGATGCTAGTGTTAATTAATTTATTATCAACAACAATATAAAATTATGCACAAAAGGAATTACTAATGTTTTTTAAAAAATGTGGTTTTATTTATATATGTTTATATATAAATATATACGGTGGCCCCTAGAGACAAAGCACGTACAAACTCTGAAGCATGTACAAACTCCAAAACACATTTCTAGCGTTAACTGAACTTCCAAAACAAAGCTACCTAGATCACTTAAAGTACACAATTGAAAGCATATGTGTATTGTTTGTGTATTTATACACAGGCAGTCATATATATTCAAATAATTTAAAAAAATGTTAATTTACTTGGTACTTCGTGGCTTGTGTAACCACTAGGTAACAAAAGCTCAACACTGCCCCTAGCATCCTGGAGCACTTCCGTTGTGTTTTGTACATGTTTTGGAGTTTGTACGTGCAGACTGCAAACCAGGCTTTGTCATCCAACACAGCGTCTAACCTCACAAATGTGCTTCTGGAAAAATTGTCAGAAATTCCCATAAACACGCTCTTAAACATTATGGAAAGCCTTTCCAGGAAAGCTGAAGCTGTTATAGCAGCAGAGGGTGAGCTGACATCATATTAAACCCTGCGTATTAAGAATTAGATGTGACCCTGAAGTTCACAAGGCAGATGAGCCGATGCTTTAGGAAATATAGAAAAATATGGTGAAAAACAGCTGTTGCTCCATTTGATCCTAGATTTTAAGGACTGCATTCCTGAATATTGCTTTTTTTTCTCCATGAACAACAAAGTTATGGTCCCATTTATTCATGTGACTCTCAAGTATTTGGACAACACTTGGCTAGGTGTGTCACTTAAGTGTTGTGACCTCAGAGCTGTTTGCTCTTGTGACAGCCTGATAAGACAGCGGTCAAGTCCAAACAGAGGAATACTAATGGCTTTGTAAAACTGAGTATACTTCCTCACTTAGAGATGGAAAATTACTGCTCACAGTGAGAAAGAGCAACGCTATTAAAACTCAGCTTACATGTTATGTAAAAGCATCCTTAAATGAGTCACTGGTGCTGTTTAGTGACTTGTAGTAATATAACTGATATAACTAAAGCACCACTGCTTGTTCATGCGTATATTACACAGTAAACCGACCTTATATCCATCTGTGTTCTGGCATTTCACGGAATGATCGATTAGCTGATGA